CCTGGCAGAGGAATGCTCGTGCATTCTGAAAGGAGCTACTATAGGAGCTGTGACCACTGTGTCACCACGAGCATCAAATACTCGCGCGCCGAGACCAACAAAGATGCAGGTGGTGGCGATTAGATCAGGCGAAAAACATAGTTCGAAGGAAGGAAAAGAGAATCACGAGCACCAAGAGCAATAAACCACGCAAAGGGACTACGGTAAAACCGTCAGAGTCAAAAGAAATGAATGATCGCAAGGAGCAGTTGGAGAACGATTTCAAAGAACTGCAACGCAGAACTAAGACTCTACTGGATCGAACAAAAAACGTTTTGCTGCACAATTTTGCGGAGGCAACGATTTGCGACGCGAAAGCGCGACAAGACCCGGATCGCAAACACATTCATGACGTTTTCCTATTGACGAGAATACCGCCCAAAATGACCTGTACCAAATGCTACAGGGTTAGGTTGTGTAGTCAAAACCAGGCACTCAGACCTAGATCCATATTAGTTGTATTCTACAGCGCACAAGAGCTCTGACCTGTTGCTTTCTAGGGCTGTTGCACTGGAAATGAACACCAGAGGGTGGATCAAAGTCACCGCTGATGCAGTTCATCGTGTGCAGCGGGGCGTCGTCCCCATTGTCCCTACAACAGGAATGATGCGACAAAAGAAGCCCAGAGTTATCCCGAGTAAGCTGAGCGCTCCTCTGGCGCACGGAGTAGGAGTGGTAAGGGCGTGCCAACGCATGGTGATCCAACAAAGTATACTAGCTGGATCACCAGTGAGCAAGTCCACGCCACCAAAGCCCTCCTGTTATTGTTATTATTATTGTGGTGTTGGCACCACGCTTTTCTACAAGCTGGGGTTAAATACAACAAAGCCAAGCCAGAGGAACCGGAAGGAGGGAGAAAAAGCAGAGGCAATCCAGAGCTGGAGTCTCTGAGAAGAACTCAGACGATAGAAAACTGATGGCCCACCAAGGACTATTCCGTCGGAACGGTCCAAGGCTAATGAAGCGAAATTAATTGTTGAGTCTGCGATCGCTGATGCCAAGATGAAATCAGCGTCCGTTAGTTGAGCCACAGGGGTAGCTAGAAATGTTCAGGATACTCCCCCTCTGAGCAGAACACTATCCCTACTTAGAAGGCAACGAGCGTCCGCGAAAAGACTCGGTGAAGAATTGGGGTTGACCCTCACAGAACGCGAGGTCTGTGGGTGGAGGGGGGTATAGCCTGATCACCCGGTACCCGCAAATATGGTATCAAAAAACGCAATAGCTCCTCAGGTCTTATGCCCGAGAATTCACACCAAGTAATAGCGAGGAGTTGTATTAAGGTGGAGTTGGTACACACTAACGCCTGCAGTGTTAGGGAGAATGAGGAGAGTTGGCTACACCCAGAACTCGGTGATAATAGCCATCACTGAAACTTGGATGCGGCATGAACAAGATGTAGAGAATCCCGGAGACTGTTCGGCTTATAGGCAAGATAGAGTGGACGGCAGACACGACGGAGGAGTACTCCTGCTGGTCAAAGCCGCTTACATTCAATGGGACTCACCAGTAAAGCTGACGACACCTTACATTCAAACCAAGGCGTGTAGTGTGCTCTTGGGAAGACGACCGCTAGGACTGCTACTAGTTTATCGAGCACTCCAGGTGGAACCCACAGAAGATATGGAGCTACTCGCTACAATGCAGGATTTCCTATCGAGGACCCAACGGATTTTAATTCTGGGTGACCTCAATCTTCCAAGCATCTGCTGGGTAGAGGGAGAGGCTCTCATTGGGACAAAGGGAGAAACCTTTGTAACTTGGTTACACGAGCATGTGCTCATTCAGCACATCCTGCAGGCTACAAGGTTTCGCAACTGATAGAGGGCCTCCGTCCTGGATTTAGTTATAACGCGGTATCTATCGGATATAAGTGAGTTAGCAGTTGAGACTCCACTAGGCAGGGTGATAATAGGGTACTTGGGTTAGTACTACCAATGAAACTTAGCAAACCGGCTGCCCCAATTGATCGGTTCTACAGCCGTATAAACGTTACATCTATGCGAGAATCAGTGTAACACGTAGGTTGGGTACCACTAGCTCCTGAACCAAAGTTGAATGACCGATGATCTGCCATTAAGGCAGGATTGCTCAGACTGACCGATATGTTTGCACCCCTCAAACCTTAGTGCAATAGGCAGAGATCCACTTGGTGAAAGACACAGCTAGATCAAGACACGCCAGTCAAGTCAAGAAAAGTTTTATGCATCCAATGGGTGAATTTTCAGCAATTTACGGTTTTTACAGTAGATAGATAAAACCAATTGCAAAACTTCTTACATTGGATGCTGGAACGTAAGAACACTCTTGGGTGCCGGGAGTCAGGCACTAACGATACGTACGCTGCATGACTGTCAGCTGGATACTGCATGCTTATCAGAAGTCAGATTGGCGGGCTCTGGCTCCAAAAATATAGAAATCCCTGGTGTCGACAGCCAATGCTGGCTGTTTCATAGCGGCAACGAAACGTCGGGTCAACACGGAGTGGCACTTGCTTTAAGTCATCGGGCTAATAGTGCTTTACTTTCTCGGAAACCAAT